CCCAGGGCCCCCAAGGGGTGAGCCCACCTCCATGCCCCTCAGTCTGGGGTGTGAGCTGAGCTCCAGCCCCAGGGCCCAGGGAGGGGCTGGGCAGTCCCTGGAGGGGCTCCCATTTGCATGGCAGCCCCTCCTCTGGCAGAGGGTGGGGAGAAAAGGAGGCCTGGGCAGCCCAGCCCCACTGTGGGCTCAGGGCTGTGAGCACCATGGCCTGGACTCCTCTGCTCCTCGCGCTCCTCTCTCACTGCACAGGTAGGGACAGGCCTGGGACCAGGCTTCTTTCCTTCCTGCTAAGTCTCCTGGGAAACGTCCCCTGGTCCCTGCCCATCACTGACAAGTGTCTGTGTCTGCAGGGTCCCTCTCCCAGCCTGTGCTGACTCAGCCGCCCTCCCTCTCTGCATCTCCGGGAGCCACAGCCACATTCACCTGCACCTTGAAAGGTGGTTCCAATGTTGGCGTCTATAACATAATCTGGTACCAGCAGAAGCCCGGGAGCCGTCCCCGGTATCTCCTGAGATATAAATCAGACTCTGACAAACACCAGGGCTCCGGGGTCCCAAACCGCTTCTCTGGATCCAAAGACACTTCAGCCAATGTGGGGCTCCTGACCATCTCGGGGCTGCAGCCTGAGGACGAGGCTGAGTATTTCTGTGCTGCAGAACATGGCAGTGGGAGCGACTATGCTTACACACAGTGTCCCATATGATGAGGAAGTGAGAACAAAACCCCTGGGCCCAGAGGTGGTGCTTCTGAGCCTCCATTAGGGAGAAGCTTCTGTGGAGGCCTCTGCCTGGAGATGGTGATGGACCCACAATTAAAGGACCAGTCCCACAAGGTGCCAATCACAGGTGAGGGGTCCAAAGTATCATATAACTTCTTGCCGATAGAGCAAAGGTTCCCAGGATCCCTCCCTTGGGTTTGATGAATTTGCAACTCTACCTGAGCCCTCTCTTCTTCAAGCGAATGGGGGGCAGGTGTGAGGCTTCCAAGCTTCTGATCTTCTGCGGCCTCTCCACTGGCCCGTCCTCACCCAGGAGCCCACCCAGCGTCCCCTCATCAGCAAAGGCCCCTCTGCCCCCCAGGGAGTGACAACGTTCAGGAGCCTGTGCCGGGACCAGGGGCCGAGACCAGCGGTTGTTTCCTATCAGCTCACATCCTGTGTCTGCAACTGCACATGGTCACCCAGACAGCCATGCTCCCCCACAGATTAATGTCATATGTGTGAACCCTGTGTCACTACTGACCCCTCATGTCTGATATGTTAGTGTCCACCCCGGTCATGGACACAACCTTCTTCTTCTCTGAACAAACCCACAGAAGGTTGGTCACAACCAGCACAGACTCTCAGTGACCCCCTCCTCCTCCTCTTCCCTCCTCTGCTGCTGCCTCCCTCACCCCCTCCTCTCCCTCGGGCTCCTCAGGTCCTAGGTCAGGGGTCATCCTCACGTGCGGGTTTCACGGAAAAGTGACAAGTTCCTGCTGTGGTTTTCATTCAGTGAGGTTTCTGCGGTCAACTGCCCAGACATTCATCACATCTGTACACACAGCACATTCTCACATTTGTCACTAAAATAGGACAATGAGTCAGAAAGTACAGTAGGTAAAGTTTTATATAAACATAAAAAATTTTAAAACAACTAAGGAAATCCTAACAAGAAACACAGGACACAGATATGCAGATCAGCACACACGTGATAAAAAGTCAATTCCTGAAATGAAGGAGCTGTGACACCTTCCACTGGCCACTGTGAGGCCTGCAAAAGCCATGATGTGTCTGAGTCAATCCCATCAGATCTCTGTGAACCTGCACATGCATCTCATGACCTGAAAGGTCTGGTGGAAAGTCCTCCTTTGAACTTGCCCCTGAGTGTGTTCCCGGGAAATTCCCTGAACAGCCCTGTGAGTCCTAGTAACCAGAGGAAGGTGTCCCTGGTCTGTGACGTCGGACATGAGGGTCACTGTGCACTGACTGTTGCACCATCTTCACTGGAGGGGAGACCTAATCAATCTGTCCTTTGTGTCCATGATGGCTCCTCCCACAGACGGGACTCCTCCTGGGAGTGAGGCGCTGCAGGGAGGCTCCAGTGCATCAGAGTCACAGGACCTGGGACCAGGCCAGGATGTGTGGCCAGAGACAGTCCCCTCTGAGCTGCAGGTCCAGCTGGGCTCTCAGGGCTTTGGGCCAAGGGCAGGTGTGTGCTGCCACCAGCAGGGGGCGCTGTGGGACCGCCCTGTGGTCTCAATGCAGCTGCACATTCAGGACCTTAACTAATAGGAGCCTGGGCCTGTGGCTGGGCCCTGTGCTCAGTGATGTGCTGTCTCAGCAGGTGCTTCCTCCCAGGGCCCCACAAGGGGTGAGCCCACCTCCATGCCCCTCAGTCTGGGGTGTGAGCTGAGCTCCAGCCCCAGGGTTCAGGGAGGGGCTGGGCAGTCCCTGAAGGGGCTCTCATTTGCATGGCAGCCCCTCCTTTGGCAGAGGATGGGGGAGAAAAGGAGGCCTGGGCAGCCCAGCCCCACTGTGGGCTCAGGGCTGTGAGCACCATGGCCTGGACTCCTCTGCTCCTCGCGCTCCTCTCTCACTGCACAGGTAGGGACAGGCCTGGGACCAGGCTTCTTCCCTTCCTGCTCAGTCTCCTGGGAAACGTCCCCTGGTCCCTGCCCATCACTGACAAGTGTCTGTGTCTGCAGGGTCCCTCTCCCAGCCTGTGCTGACTCAGCCGCCCTCCCTCTCCGCATCTCTGGGAACCACAGCCAGAAGACTCACCTCCCTGAGCAGTGGCTTCAGTGTTGGTGGTTACTGGATAGCCTGGTACCAGCAGAAGCCAGGGAGCCCTCCCCGGTTACTCCTCC